GTACTAGGACACTTGGAAGTCATAGTTTTAATTGTTGGTGTGACCATCAATGTCACGTCCTTGTAAATAATAAACTTGAAAAGATAAAGGTGTACACCATTAAGCTTGTAGGAGAATTTCACGCGATTCATTCATTTAATCCGACAAATATGGCGTTGATTCGAAAGATTTATTACATATCCAAATTACTTGAAAAAATAAGTGTTAAGTCACCACATCACCTACATTGTGGATTAACTACAGAAATTGCTTACATAATTCATATGTTATAAAAGTAGATTTTGATAAAGGAACATTTTATTTTTTTCCGAAAACTTTTATAGTGAGGAGTCATTCTGTAAGTTATTGTCGATGATAAGACAGGGAACCGTTGTGAACTAGTTCAAACCGACACAATTTAAGTCAGTATGGTGAAATGGAATCAACAAAGATGAGAAGCAATAGCAAGGGAAATAATATCAAAGGGAATAGAAGTTTGACTGTACCTTATATCAACAGTACTGTAAATTGATTTTTAGAATGAATATATATAAACGTACAGAATTTTGTACACAATGGTGAGAGAGACTATAAAGTATGATCCATAAAAATCGAAAAGAGGTATATGTAGTAAGCTTTTGGTTAACAGTATTTTGGAAGCATTGGTAGTGTATTGCACCAAGCGAGCAATGTTGAGGTTAGTGTAGAGTATGGTTAGGCAAATATCAGAAATCAGTTGATATAATTCTTCATCGACTGAGGTTGTTGAAACATGTGCCATTTATGCCTAATCACAAACTATCATGGCAGGCACCGTCTGATGAAGTACAATTAAGTATCAAGAACGCCGAAGACAGCCGAACGAGGAAATGACTAGTAATCTAAGCCATGTTGATAGACTCAGACTACCTAGTTTCGGTCCGCGCTAGATCATAAGTTCTTGCATTCCTTCACATATACCTACCCATTTTATCTTCTCTAACCATAATCACAATGTATAACCTCCCTCATCATCATTTTTGTGACAATTATTTTGACTCCCCTTGTTATTCATTGTGTTAATTTCATGTCAACTGAGACTAATACACAATATTTGCTAACTCTTCATTGATCATAACTGACTAGCTGGCTAAAGCAAAAACTAAATCATTGACAGAATGTTTAGTACTTAGAACAATTCAATGTTTTAAAATCTCATTCTTCTAATTATTAAACTATTATTCAACTCTCATTATTCCTTCATATTTTACAGACAAAGAAAAAAATTTTGAAAAACGTTTTCCTTTTTTTTTTCTAGGATAAAGTCTTTCATCATAGAAAAAAAAGAACCGATCACATGACTAGAATTGAATAATATAAATGATTATTATTTATACTAACAATTTCCAAGAATGACGTAAAGTTATCAGTTTTTTCATAAGGAGAACAAAGAAAAATATTCAACATTTGTTTGTAGACTAAATGAGAACATGCACACACACACACATGTACAAACATACTAAATAGAGAGAGTAACAAAGCTAGAATGCATACTCAATGAACATAACAAGCAGTGTTCAATGCTACTTATTAATTACTTAGCAATAATTTAAAAATAAATTCTAATTATTATCATCTTCATCATAATTATAATTTAATTAAAAGGTTTATTTTAAAAGTTCTATTTTACAAGTTAAATAAAACAAAGAATGGTGAACAAAAAGTAAATCCTTTAGGTTTTAGTTCTTTTTTTGTCTTGTAGATAAAATGAAAGTTTTTCTTTAAAAAAAACAAACAAAATTCACATCTATTACTAGAATTTTTCTTCTCAAAATGTTCAAGACTACATATAAAGTGGATTTTTGGTTTTATTAGTAATATATGTATTATATAATTGAACTAAAATGTGTTATAAACAACTGTGATCATTATCAAATTTAGTCTTACATCATAATGTCATTAATATTACTTGTATATGACGTAGCTCATTTATGAAATATATAATTAGATATTTAGCTAGATAATACTATCAGTGTTGCCTAAATTGAATTAGTTAAATCAGGGTTCAAACGTGGGAATGAATGGTTAAAGATTAATTAGCCTACTTTATTAAACATATCATTCATAGACTACAACAAAAAGATTGTATTTAGTTGATAGATGAGATTACAAACAGTTTCATGTGCAAAATATTTAAATAAAGAAGGTTTTTACATAATATAAAATAGTGATTAGAATTTTGAATTCAATCTTTATGTGTTATGATGTAAATGTAACTCGAATTTAAACTCATTAAACCGATTAATTGAATGAAATCTATGTGACTTGATTATGATATACCCTATTAATCTTACAAATATTTGTAGAACTCAAGTATGTTCGAAATCTAAACAGGGTAAACAGATGAAAACTTAAAACTAGCATGGTAATACATCTACTTCATAAAGCTAAATTAGTTCTATAAGCCAGGAAATAATTTCAGACTAAAATATTCACTAAGAACAATTAAGATTTCTGATTCAGATCGTGCAAACGTTTTTATCACACCCAACATATACGTGTGTAAATAGAGATATTTATTGTCTGTGCCAATGATTACATTATTGCAGTGACGTTATTTGTATACACAGTAGACACTAAATAACATTGACAAATTGAAACATTCAAAATCACAAGATCAGATGCTCGTTTAATGTATGATAGAGTAGATGTAATAATAATGATTCAAAACAGCTATTCAGCAGCCTGGTTAGTGTAGAATTATTTTAACAACTACAAATTTTTATCTTCAATATAATACTTAAGTGGCATGTAAGTAATAGCATAAACTGCATACTGCTTCCCATGTATCGTTCAATAGATACCTCTACACATAAATATGAAATGACTGAATAAAATAAAGATAAACACGTCACCATGGTCAAGATGAAAACATATTCTAACAAAAGCCGACATTAAATATTTTTTCTGAGTATAATTCATGTTTATTGACAACGTGTTTATTCATAAACTAAATGGGATTCGGCATATATATGTGTAAGTTCATATTATTATTCGTCCCATATGCACAACAAAAAATACTCTAACAAGATGAGAAGCAAAGAAACGAAAAAGATAACAATGATATTTTTGTACAACTTAACGTAGAAAACAGAGTTTGAAACGATCAGATAAAAGAGAAGAATGTAAAGAGCAGAATAATGAATAGATATTCGCCAATGAAACGAATTTTAATCCACTTCATCCAGGACATATTATTGATTTGTTCATAATTACTAGTTTGGAGTGTTATTCAAGTCAAAATTTGGATGCACTTAAATCCTCAGTAATATTTGTAGGTTATGAGGTAATTTGTAGCACACTGTAACATAGATAGAGGTTTCTTACTAATTAACTGATCGATAGAATATTCCACCTTATCTTTGAAAATGCGTACCTGAGCCAGGGCAAAAGTTATAAACTTTAAGGATTTATCTACAATTAATCAACCCGCTTTAAAATCTCCAAACGTTTTTCAGTTCAGAAAACCACTTTAGTACATATCATTCTGTGTTGTTTACAATTCTATGGTAAGAGCTGGTATTTTTCATACTGCTTATAATCTTTGTGCAAATATTTGAGTTTAATTTTTAAATCGATTCCTTTTACAACAGCCTTGATGAAGTGAACAATCTCTTTAATCTGATATCAGCAATCAAAGTTTAGTTCTAACACTGATTATGGCTGTGATCGAACGCACCAAAAAACATCAAACTATTTGTGTTATTTAAAGATGTCAAACAGCTAATTGTATATTTAGTACTTTTAAATAACACTAACTCCTATGATACGCAAGAACATTAAGTTTATTTGCAAACGCGCGTGAGTTGTGTTTATACGCACTTCATGGTGAAGTTATGAAAGTAAACAAATACAACTTGTTCTGAAACCTTTCAACACCAACAATCAGTAAGTATGATATTTAACAAGCAATTTTCGATACTAAATTCTGACTAATAACAGATAGCAGACACGTTTTGCTAATGCCTGTATGCCATTTGTAAAACTCCTCTTAGCTTCAAATTTACTCCACAATATTGTTCCTAAATATAATAAGTGAAGACTTTAGGTGTGGCTAGTTTTTCGTCATAAAAAAATGTGAGGGATGACCAACATTCGGATGTAGAACATGAAATAATAGCTTCGTATCATTCCAAAAAGTTAAAAATATTCAACCATCATTAGCATAGAGTAATAAGTATTCTTTCGCTTAGTTAGCACGGCACATTTGCACACGAAAGCCACAAAATGTATGACAAAAGAAATCGGAATAATTTAACATCAAAGACCAATAGAAATATTACAGATTCAGAAATTCACCCAGAAAAATAGGATGAAAAGGTGTAAATAAATAAGTTCGAGATTTAGAGGAAGATAGTGGGTACATCTGTGACATTGTGAACAGTTTCAAGGTGTTTAGTCAACGATACAGTCCTAACCAGTTTTCTTATTAAGTACTCCATCAAATAAGACAGTCTTCCATACATGTATATTCAAAACTAAATCTAACTATGACATAAATGTTTGAAACAACAAGTACACAACAAATCTTTAAATATTTTAAGTTTGAACCGATGACACTCGGTTGACCAGTGTTATTACTATTTTTCAAATAACTATTGTGTTTACAAAGATAAAGTCATTATTTCTTCAGTCTAAGGAGAAACTTAACGTCGTAAAAGAGTCACTACTATACGTAGTATTTCTGCGTTAGGGAAACTACAGTTAACGAATTAGTATATCACTTTAGATTTTCCTTATTGCTGATATAGAGAATTGATCTTCAACATTCACGCATAAATAGCGCATAAACCAGGGCGATTTGAGTGGTAAACTAGTTATCAAAAAACATGACATATTAACATATCGCCCAAGTTCTGTGTTTCAAAAATCTTGAAAGAGACATACTTCCTGCAGGCAAAATAGATAAAACCGTGCAAGGGATAATAAGGTATAATATGAAGAATTTCAAAAATCATTTCATCAATAAATAGAGTACTTACAGGTAATGTCTTCTTCACACTTCGTCGCATTCATTTGGCACAAATATAAATAAGATTAGAACATCCCAATAAGAAAACAAATTATAAATTGATAGCTGCCTTATTATGACGGTTAAATAATCATTTTGAACTCAATTAATAAAATTTAAATATGAATGAAACATTTGTGCATTATGTCATAATTTTTAGTTTTTCGAGTGTCCAAACATATATGCTTTTTGTCTGTTAAACCACTGTGATGTTCTCATAAGTAGATGACCATCACTTGACCTGAATCTGGATAACACATGATTAAACTTAATTGACGCGCAGCTAAGTAAATAGTTCTTTCGTACGTGTATAAACAAACTCAAGGTCAAAATGAAGCGAAACATAAAATATCATTACCTCAGATTCTCGGACACAAGGCATGCAGCATTCATCTATTTCGAGTAGCGAAGAATAAGGAAAGATTTTGGAGAACCTGTGGTCGGTGAGGATAGCCTAATATGCATTGGCCTTTCTAACAAGTTTGAGTAGTGTAATATCTCAGTGTCTCTCTTGCTCCTTAATAAACTTAAACCAAACTCCTTAACTTCCTTTCTCAGTCTTAATATCCGCTGAGAATATTGTTTATGTAAGAAAGTAGAAAACGTCTACGGAGATTACCATAGGAAATCAGTTTCAGTTTGGAAAAGACAGCAGGCTTGATGGCCTGTGTTAGTCCTGACAATGATGGTCTCTTAGCTGATCCAACTTTCTTTTGAAGGAGTCGACGGATGCAGCCTCAACCACGTGCTGAGGTAATGAATTCCACTCGTTGATTATTCGATGGGAAAGTCGGTAGTCAGCTGACAAGTAATTCGTTCGGGGCTTGTGAACTTTTTTGGAGTGTCCTCGTAGATTTTCTGTTTTGGAAGACAAGAAAAATGAGGGCATAGCAGGTGCAAATTTTTCATTAAGCAATTTGAAAACTGTAATCAAGTCGCCTCTGATTCTTTTATATGACAGCGGGAATAGGTTTAGCTTGGTCAGTCTGGTACCATATGGGAGCTTCGCTATTCCGGGAATCAGCCTGGTTGCTGTTCTCTGAACCCTTTCCAAGAGTTTACCGTCTTTTTTAGGCAGGGGCTAGCTGCTTGCATACAGTACTCAAGTTTAGGACGTACGAACACTGTATACAAAGTCAGAAACGTTTTAGCGTGAAGATGCCTAAAAGCCCTGCGTATGGACCATAAAGTCCTAAAACCTTTAGCGGCTATTGTACGGCAGTGTACAGTAGTCCTTAAGTCTTGTCTGACGATGACGCCTAAGTCATTGTGTGCCTGAACATTCGGTAACTCAGTGTTATTCATTGTGTATGTATCTGTGCCCTGGTGGCCAATATGCATCACAATACACTTGGAAGTATTTGTCGGCAATTGCCAGGTTTGGGACCATTCACATAATCTCTTCAGGTCATTTTGAAGTTCTAAGCTATCGCCCTTGCTTTGTATCGCTCTCCATATCTTGACATCATCAGCATAGAGTAAGACCGATGACAATAGTAGACGAGGGAGGTCATTTACGTACAGGAGGAATAACACTGGGCCCAAAACTGTACCCTGGGAGACTCCACTAAGCACAGTTTCCCAGCTAGACAACTTGGAGTTCACCCTTACTCTTTGTTGACGCCCAACTAGGAAGTCTTTGATCCACATCAATAGATTGCCTCCAATCCCGACATTCCTTAGCTTATGTAACAGCCGGTTATGCGGAACTTTGTCGAAAGCTTTGCTGAAATCGATGTAAGCTACGTGTATAGGTAATTTTTGGTCCTTAAGAGCGCACCAGCTTTCACGAGCGACTAATAAGTTTGTGAGACAAGAGTAACCTGTTCTAAAACCATGCTGCTTTTCGGAGAGGATCCGGTTTTCATCGAGATACTTTAACAGTTCCTTCAGAATAATCTTTTCTAAGATTTTAACAACCACACTAGTTAGGCTAATTGGTCGGTAATTCTCAGGCTTATGTTTTGTACCTGTTTTGAATACTGGACTTACTATGGCCTTCTTCCAGTCTTTTGGTAGACGACCCTGGGTTACGGATAGATTAAAACATACACATAAATGTTCGCAACAAAGTTAGCCAATTTCTTTAGTAACCTAGGATGCAGTTCATCGGGTCCAGTGGATTTACCTATGCCAAGCTTAACTAGCAGACCAAAGACATCGAGTTCTTTAATGGTCACGCTGTCCAGTATTTGTGTGGGGGGATTTTAATGGACTGGTGAGAAGGGTGTTTCTATGATGTATACATCGCTAAAGTATTTAGAGAAAACTTGAGCTTTGCCAAAGTCGTCCTCCACTAGTGATGTGGCAGTACTGTCTCCCCATAGTGAAGGAACATTTCTTCTTCTTTTTGTCCTTTGGTTTATATACGAATACAAGCGTTTAGGGCATTCTATGGATTCCCTAACGCGTTTGGGTTCTATCAGCCCTTACTAATGTAAAACCCTCGAAATCAAGTTCCCTACTATCTATAGACGGCGTCAGTCATGTTTCTGTGACTGCGATTATGTCTGGCCTAGTTGAGTCAATCTGTACACCTAGTTCCGGTAGCTTATTTAGTAAGCTCCGGGCGTTGGTATAACAGATCCGAAGCCTATTTAGGTGGCCTCATGCCTCATCCAGAGTGGCTTCGGCAGCATTCTCTGTCGAAGCCTCACAACCCGAAAATTTACAATTTTCAAGTCTTTTTCGCCAGCGTCTAATCTGAGCTGTAGTTCCTCTTCGGCTTCCCGTCTTTTAACACGGTCTGCCAACGGTAAGTCCTTACGGAGAAAAACTCCTGAACCCTTTAATTTGTGTCCATTTTCTAAGATTAAGTCGCGTTCGTTTGGGGATTCGAAAATGACTTTGAGTAGTCTAGACTGATTTGGTTTCAGATGCCCTAGATTTCTTAGTCTACACACCTTTAGCAAGGTGACTCCGGGGATGTTTTTGGGCATAACTTGGTTGAGTAGTTGTTCTATCAACACAATATCATGCTCAAAACGGGCTTTCGGTTCTAAGCTGTCACTCTACTTGACTCTATGGAGAATGACTGATCTGTCGCTGTGATCAGACCTCGGCTTGTCGACCATGTTGGTGGGGGTATGATTTCCTTTTACGTCATTTTGGCGTTTTCTTCTAACGTTCCGTACCCAATCGCCAACGTTCTTTGGAGTGGTAACCACAGTCGCGTCAGGCGTACTGTGGGATTCCGGAAGATTCAGGACGACTTTAGAGATTGGGTCATCTTTGGTGCTGGAAACCGATCGAGCATTGCGGTTTCGGCTTCCGGAAGTTCCCTTCTGGGTACCATTTTTGATACGAGGGACAGAAGAGACTTTTTTGCGCGAGTTTCTGGTTGTAACAGACCTCTTTGGAGGATGTTCTTTCTCCTTAGTAGAGTGTGGGTCGGCATTTTTTGGACTCACTCGGGCGTGCCTTGTGTCAATCTGCGTGTCGACAGATTGAGTTCTGACTGATGTATCCCGACCGCGCTTGCCGAGACACTTTTTTGCGGCATTTACTATTGAGATGGCCTCGGTTAACAGGCTATTTGCATCCAAACAGCACTGTTGACAGTCATACGCACCCATTTTCACGGAACCGCTTGAAAGCTGCAGGTGTTAGATTCGTGCAAACATCGTGGTACCAACCTTTGCACTCATCGCACTGCATGCCGCTATCAACAGGATATCGACATCCTGGGCTGTGGCAAATGCTTTTGTTGCATCTTCCAGTCATTTTAGGATGCGAAAGTGAGTGTTGACTGCAAGTAGAAAAAAACTATAAATAGTTAGGACCAAAGTACTAACAGACACAATAGAAAAACAAAGGTACTCTGGAGTACCGACGATAAAACTAATTAGGATACCGAAAATGATACTGTAATAGAATACTTTAACTGAAAGAAATTCAATCAAAGTATAAGGACAGTAGTCTTGATACGTTAATAACGATCAAAACAATAGAATTTACTCAACGAGGACAAATACCATCGTCCTTTTTAAATAGCGCGCTTATTGTTTGTCGATGGTCACGGTACACTGTGCTGAAAAGTCCTGATTTCTGTTTGCAAAAGTCCCTAAAATGTGAAAAGCCAGTATAATCCAAACCTTAGACTGTAGGGGCAGTAAAATGTTACTGAGGCTTAGCCAAATCATTCGGTAGTTTCGTCACTGAATATCGAATAGATCACCGATTGTTTTCAAGGTCAAGGACAAAAAACACGCATCAGTAAATCGTACACCATAGACCGGCCCGTGTGGTGGTTATCTTACTAACAAATCTGTACTCATTCTTACCAATATACTTACGTAATAGCGTCTTTTGTGTTATACAATCTTCAAAGCAGCCACAGTATTTTAATATGTCGAAGGGGTAATCCACGTTAGATACTGACTGCGAGGTGTGTCTTCGAATTCAGCTGATTCATCACATCGTTCACACCTAACCAGAGTAGGCCCCTAATAGTTTGACAGAGATCATCTACTTTGATATTCTACAAGATTAACATTATAATAGAAGAAATAGGTTGAGTCGTCTAATTCTATCCGTATTAGATAGTCATCATTTTGTATCATTATCTACTTTCAAAGTCATATGCTTACCATTCTATCTTCTCTATGGGCCATTTAACCCTAATTTCGTCATCTTTTGGTCGAAATCATGTATGTTTATGCATCATAGGTCGACATTACTGTGGAAAAACCTATTGCGTAAACACAAGCAGTCTCAGTATAAATCTTAACTAAATAATTCGTCGTATTGACGTAATTATTATGTTACTAGATATATTACGAAATAATGAGCTTTCCCTATTAGCTGTTTACGATACCGCCACGTTTTATGAAGCTTCCAAACCTTGGTTACATTGATGTTCATCATTCTTACTAATGTTTGCTACCCACTTCGCATCAAAAGATGCCATAAATATCCGGAGTTTGACAACGCGTTAACGGATAACTCCTATAATCTGAATGTGGCAACCCAGCCAAATCAAAGTTCAGAAGCGAAAAGTTTCGAG